GAAGATCAGCCCTGAGCTACCATCTGTTGCTAATCGTCCTCCTTTTGCTTGAGGAGGACTGTCCCTGAGCTCACACCCGTGCCAGTCTTCCTCTATTAGTTCCTCACGTGCAGAGGGTGACTCAAAGTCCACAATGGACTACACGACCTGGGATTCCTGGGGCCCATACCCATGCTAATCCAAGCAAGGCCTTCCCAAAGATGAAGCCAGGCAGAAAGGGGCAGGAAAAACCAACTCTAGCACCATCGCATGTAAGAGGCATAAACTCAGTCCTACTGCTCCTCCTCCTAAAGTCTGTAACATCCATTAGCTTTGCGTAGAACCTTAGCATTCACGAAGTGTTTCCACGATGATTTCCAATCTAGAAATACTTCTGCACACGTGTCCCAGCAGACTGAAGCTGCCAACACAGCAGTTCTATCACTTCCACATCTAAAATCTTCCTCTCAAAAGAGTCAAATATTCTGAAAATAAGACAAAGACTAATTCTGGGATAAACCTGAACATTTCTTACTAGACAGAGAACAACCATAAGCCATTTAAAAATGCTAATTAGGGGCCGGCCCCATGGCCAAGTGGTTAAGTTGGGCACACTCTGCTTCGGTGGCCCGGGTTTGGTTTCTGGTCATGGACCTACACCACTGGCCAGTGGCCATGCTGTGGTGGCATGGTGGCAGCTCACATACAAAAAAAAAGAGGAAGACTGGCAATGGATGTTAGCTAAAAGCAAATCGTCCTCAGGAGGGAAAAAAGCGCTAATTAGCAGGTCACTATCCTAAGCACAAAATATAGATGAATCATACAGATAAGAATCCTATTAACCTGAGATGTACACTGACCAGGCCCAAGGAATTCTGCAAACATTTTAAAGCATTTCCTAAAAGACTGTAATCCCCTTGGGAAAATAAAACAGTAAGACAAGGGGGAATGAATCAAAAACGTGGTCAGAGCAAAACTCCCACATCATCATATTTTGTTTCCCTGTTTCATGATTTCAGGAATCTGAGTATGTAAACTCAAGGACATAACATTATAGTTTCTTTCTCAACCCTGATATCTCCCATTCCACCCCATCCCCAAAACAAGGCTCCCCAAAATAAAAAAAGTTCTTCCTCCTCTCATCTGGCAGCAAATCTCAGCCTACACTCATCTTGTCTGCTTCATTATGATCCACCATGTCTGTCTGTGAAGTCGGCAGTGTATCTCTGACCGTTACTTTGGGAGGCGGTGAGAAAGAGAAAAGCAGCCCTGACAGCTGGAGTTAACCTGGTACTATCAGCTGGGCCTTGATGTCTTTGTGAAAACAATTAATGTCACAGGAAATTGTCCTGTGAAAGTCCCATTTCCTTAAGCCTTCTCCCAAATTACCCTTACAAATCCTTTCTCACACCTTCCTACTGAGAGGCCCCATGGCTCCCTATGGTGTACATTCTCCCCACCTGCAGTGAGCAAGCCTATCTACTCTAGGTAAGCCCCTGGTAATCTTTGGCTGGAGGGCATCAATAAAGGGGAAATAAGATGCTCATCTGTAAAATTAATACCTCAAACTCTGCACACATTATCACTCTGCCTAGCACCATCCTTCTCCTCAAACTGCCTGCTCTCAAAACACCCGCCTTGTTGAGTTGTTTCTGGCACCCTCCTGGTTTTCCTGACTCCCTGCTCCCCCTGCAGTAGTTCTTCCCGCCCCATAAAGGCAGGTGTTCTCCAAGGTTCTGTCTAGCCCCTCTTTCAACATCAATGGTTCTTACCCCTTTGTTGCTCACAGCACTCCCTTTGAAAATCTCATGAAAACTATGGCCTGCTCCCCACACTGCTCTTCCCCCATCGTGTCCAGGAAATACACATTTAATGAAAGTTTTGCAATTTTAGGGAAGGTGAATGGAACTCAAGGGTGTCTTCTCTACCCTCTCCCACGGTAATATAACAATTTCAATAATTCTTTACCCACATACGACTCCTAAACCACTAACTTTGATCTTTACCCTTCCCCCAACTTCAACTAGTCGAAAGCACAAAACTAAACTCATTTTCTCTTCAAATTTGCTCCTCAATACTCACCTCGCCATCCTTCCAGTTACCCAGGTTAAAGACGTCAGCATCAATTTTGACGTATTCCTCTGAATGGATTAAATCTGAGCATCTCATCATCTAAAGACTCTACGTCTAAGATGACTTACATCTGGCTCCTTAGCCTCTCCCTGCCACTGTCCTGGTTTTGCCCCTCATTACCCTGTTATTCCTTAGCACTAGCATCCTATAACTTCTCTCCCCAAAGCACTACTCCACCCATGTCACTCCCTGCTTAAAATCCTTGGGCTTTGTCTCTGCATCCCCATAGGATAAAATCTTAGGTTGACATTCAAGGGCTTCCACAATTTGACCCTAATAAACCTTTCTAATCTTAACCTGATAACTCTTCCAGACACCTAAAGCTCTTGTCACACTGCATTCTTAATGTTCCTCATAAATGGTTGATACTTTCCCCTATAAACATCCAGATTTCCAGTTTCTCTTCAAAGAGAAAAATGAAAATCTGTTAACACTAGGCCCAAATTCCCACACGGCAAAAACTGGCTGGAGCCAAGAATGCCTTCTCTGGCTCTCTGCAGTCCCCAATACTTCTCACTGTCGTGTGCCTGGCTTATTTAGCTTTCTATCTGGCTCTGCGCACAATTTCAGTTTGTAACCCTAAATCAGGGACATGTACCTGCCTATCGTGGTTGCCAGATCCATGTTCCAAATAGGGTTATATTCCCTCTCCTTTAAATAATTTAGTAAAAATATGACTGTACTGTTATTAATGATTAAAAGATAAATTGGCCATCCTTGCTCTTATTTCTGTGCTTACGAGGCCCAGGGAATTGAGGGCGGTTGAATGACTGCCCCTAGTTTGAGCATTACCCCACAGCACAGAGCATTTCCCACGCCAGGAATCAAGCTAGAGAAAAGTTTACAAAATATCTCTGCTGCCTTTTCAGAAGATGACCCACTGCCTTAGCAGAGGTTTCAACACTATGGTCCCAAACCAATTAACTTGGAAATGACCTGGCTTTTTAGTATTTGTGCACACTCAGTTACATGCTGATTAACACCAAACTGGCCAAGAGAAAAACAGCTTCTAACCTACAGGTACATATTAGCAGGTTATTTTAGAATACAAACGGTTGTGGCAAACTTTTCCTACTAAATACATTTAATTCATTTCGTCGATGGTAAAATTTCAATACATGAACACTTAATTTACTATTGAGAGTCCAACATGAACTCCTCCTCCTCAAAATCTTCACATAATATCCAAAGACAGTTCTGTTTAAGTCATTTTCCTTTCTTTCAAACTGAGGAAGTCCCAGGGAGGGCCAACAGCACTGGAAAAGGCTTTGGATTTATCACCACCACTACGATTTTTGTGTAAGATATTGCTAACTTGAAGTATTTCCCAAGATGTACACCTGGTATTACCACTCCCATTTTACAGATAGGAAAACAAAGGCTCAGAAAAGGGAGTCATTTGCCAAATGTCACAAAGTTCAGAGAAGAGCAGTGTTCCTGGTTCCCTGCTTTGGTTCTGGAAGCTAAGCAAAGGAAAACATTAACTATAAAAAGAAAACAAAACAGACTTTGCTTAAGGAGGACATAGGAAGACAGAAAGAGGTGGGTATTAAGAGTAGGTTAAATTATTACTTAACATTATTCTCACCTTCAAGATAAGGTCAACACATTTAAGAAGCAGGAGACTACGATGATTAATTCAGTTTACAATTCAGCAGCATTTGCTGGGCAAAACACTACAATGGTATGTGCGGAGGGTGGAATCAATTCCTCCAAATGGGAGACTCTACTCCAAGTGACAACGACGACAGTTCTCTTAAACCATGAGTGGTGGCCTAAGAGACTAGGAAAAGGAAGTTTTATAGACGTTTGCCACCACTACTTAGTTTTGAAACGCTTCGGTAAGACAAGCAGCCAGGAGGAAATGAAAGCTTGGCCCCAGCCACCATGATATTATTTCCTTCCTTAAAATTCATGTTTAAATCTTTGCCTCTGTCCTTTATAAACAAACACTTCTCCTAGTACTTAAGACTTTCTTGACCTAGAGTAACCTTCTCTTTTATTGACCCAAGATGTGTTTCTGCCCAGGGTAAACTTATCGAGCCATTATGACATTACTTGTCTATTCACATAGCATGAGGTGAAAATGGAGAGAGCAACTGGGCCAACAATCTACCTTTTCTCACACTTCATTTGGAATCATTTCCCATCTCTAGGCTGTGCCTCCTTTTACCTGTCATTCCTCTGACAGCATGCTATTTGTGCCCTTCTGTTCCAATCACATCCACCACAGCCAATCACAAATTGACTTATTTTATCCATGCCTGTAATGGTGCTGGTTATCCAGCTTACTGATAAATTTTTCCCTTTGTTCACTTATAAACCGTCTTCTAAGTCACTCTATGTAAAAATACTCTGCTACTCATGTCATGCTTAATTTTTCTCTGTTCTGAATCCTTTTCAGGAGGCTACTTTGCAAAACGCAGACATTCACATCCTGAAATATACCACCAGACACACATTCCCTGCCCTTTCTACATATGCCCTGAGCCAGAAGATAACACCTAGGTTTTCACTATCATGCATCCTAAAGGACACAGTGAGCATTATTCTTTCCTAAGTCTTTCCTCTGAGGCCTCTAACTTAAAAAGCAACATAAAAAAAAAAGGAAGCCAAAAAACAAAACCTCTAGAAGCAGCAGCATATCCATATGGCAAGAGACCTACAGAAAGAGAATCCTCTGAAGATTTATCAGAAATGTGAAAACGAGAAAAGGAGCAGAAAAAGAAAGGACATCATCAATAGATGGGGGGGAATGGAAAGGAGAGTAAGGCAATTTCTTCCCAAAGAAGGAAAAAAAGAGTAAAAAGAGCAGTGAGAGGTTCTAGAGCCCGTGGAGCCATAAATCCAGGATCTAGGAAAAAGTCCACATCCCCCCGGACACTTACCGTGTTGCATTTTGTGCCACACACCACTTGCCTATGATTCAGCCACTGAGACGCAAACACTTTATTAAGGGTCCCAAGGTGAAACTCTCTCTCTTTCAGAAGACCGGGAAGTTGCTGTGCTGCATAACCATGCAACACTCGGGAGTAGTTGGTTTCATTCTGTAGCCTGACCTCTCGGTTCTTCAGGTAGTACACTAAGGATCTCTTCACTGGGGGGAGTCTTTTCCTTTTGTGAAGTGAGTGATCCCAGCCAAACTGTGGAAAGCAACATGAGAAATCAGGGCTTTGGCTACCTTCCTTCAGAACAAGGGGTCCTACTGTATTACAGAAATCACCAAGAACTCTTCCTGGAGAATTTACATACAACAGAAATATAAATACAATAGAACAGGAATCTCAATCCAGAAAGTCCAGTTGAACTCCTCCAGTATTGAAAAGATGCTGTTCCTAGTCAAACCTACCTATAAGAAGGGAGGACTGAAAGACGAGGGAATGGAAGCCGAAAAGAGGACAAAAGGTTTACTAGGCCCTTTAGGAGTGAAGGCTTCAGATCCCCTAAAGCTATCCTTAATAAGGAAAGGAACGAAAGGCAAATGATCACCATAACGACCTGGGCTGCATCTCTACCGAGCTCCCTTCTCCCTCTCAGCCTGAACTCCCCACGGAGCATGGAGGGTGCAGCCCAAGGAGCCAGACTCGGGTCCCAGAACTTTCAGGGACGCACCATCAATGGCTGCCCCTTGTCATCAGGCCCGCGCCCCAGGCAGTTACAAAATTCGAAAAATCAAACACCAACGGAGTGGTAGGCACGGGAAATCAGGCCAAATATGTGTCCAACAAGGTCTTCCCCTCCAAAGAGGGCGGTATAGGGACGATACCTGGGAACTGCTGGTTCTTCTAGGGGTCCAAGGGCCAAAAGACCCAGCTCAAGGCTTGAGTATCCACAGGGAGACTCTCCTAGGAAGACCTCTCGAAGGCGGACTTCACTCTCCCTCCCGGTATCTTCCGGGAGGTTTTGTTCCCGATTCCCCCGGACTTGGGTTTCCCTTCCTCCAAAGCCCAGATTCTGGTTTCTCTTCAAGTCCCATTCCTGGCTGCAGGCAACCCGCGGAATATGCCATGTTTTCAAGTTCTCCTTTAGCTCCTCACTCATCCAGCCTATCTGCTTTCCAATGAACTCCTGAGGGCCCAGCTCTGACCGGGGCTAGAGGCCGGGGCTCCGCTCTGGCCCCCCCACCCCCCTTGGACCTCGGTTCGGGTTCCCTGATCAGCGAACCCTATCCCCCTTTGGGTGCCTCGGCTTTATCACTCGGGACCCGGCCTCTCAGCCCTCACCTGCGGGCCCTGAGCGTCGCTCCCAGCTCCCGGCGAGGCGGACGCCTTCCGCTTCCTGCTAACTGCTTTCCGGGCCATAGTGGGCAGCGCCGCCGCGGCCCCGCAGCCACATGGGGCAGGGGAAGCGAGCAGGAGCAGGACGGCGGGTCATATACTGGGCCCCGGGACCGCGCACCTTAGTGTGCCCGGCCCGGAAAATGGCCCGGACCCGGGGCGGCAGTAGAAAAAGGGGAGGCAGGCAGAAGAGGAGGAAAGAGGGCCAGGACCGAGAAAGGGAAGGGGAAGGGAAGGAGAGGCAGCAACGAGAAGCTGTCGGACGATGGAGTCTGGAAAGGACGGCGAGCAGCTAGAACCAAAACACCCCCACCCATCCCGTTCGCCCGCGCTTCGTCACCCATGCGCAGCCGCACTTCGCACCGCGTCGCCACGGAGACTCCGCCGGGGACTGGAGGGGCGGGGTCTAGGGCTTGCAAGAGAGTTCGCGGCTGTTGTTTAGCCGCCGCCCGCCTTTTTCAACGGTTGTCGGGCAGGCGCTGGAAGTGGGCGAATGGGGCCGAGGGCGTCTGGATTCTGGTCGCCGAGCTCGGATCCCCGCCCGCCCCTCTGCAGGCACCCGGAAGTGAGGACGATCACCCTGCTTGGGGAGGGCACCCCTCCCAGCGCGCGCCTCCACCCGGCAGCCGACACTGCTTATATTCCCTGGAGAGCCGCGCCTCTCCCCGAACCTATCACAAACCGAGTCCTGGCGCTGAGGGCTGGACGCTGGGGGAGGAGGCAGAGCCTACTCTCCCCACCCCCGCAAGTGGAGTGCTGCTCGGGATCCCAGCCCGCAGGGCCGGACTCGCCCGCTGCGGAGAACCTGCCCTGCCGGGTACGACCAGCGCCCCACCTGCCACAGCCTCGGGCCTCCGGCCGCCCTCTCCTCACCCCGGGGGAGCCCTCCGGCTCCATTCTTCACTCAGCCTCCTCCCTCCCTCCGCTGGCCTCCTCCCCTCCCCGACCCTGTCTCCTGCCCTAACCGCACGCAGCAGCCCCTCAATCACCTTTCCCTTAGCTGCGACCTCGCCTCCCTTGAGATTCCCGTGACCCGCCGGCCACGCTGTCTTGGGCTTTATGAACTAGACCTCACGCCGTAATTTGTTTCTTACGTCTCCCATGCAATCCTAAGCTGAGGACTGGAACAGGGGACTGCCACGGCCTGCCTCTCCCTCGGGGCACAGGTTGTGTCTCCATCAAGGCAGATCGGGTGAAATTCTGAACCACAGAGAAGAGAGTGGCCGTTGGCCTGTCAGTCCAGTTAGGGCTGGCATTGGTCATCAGACAAGGGGGCTTCTTCAGGATCACCCTTGCCTCCATTTTCAGAAGATCCTATAGGAATTTTGAGTGCCCGCATCCACTTTCCTTAGGCAAAGAAACCTTTCGAGGAAGCAGGATGCTCTTGCTTGGGGCTGACTGGCCTCAGGCTGTAGTGCCCTGTTACCTGCCGGTCCCTTCAGGCTTCAGGCTGCATACCTCTTGGGAGTTCTGTTGGCCCATCTGAAGTTCTGCCTACAAGGAGATTTGGAGCTGTTTTCCTGGCTGAACCAAAGACCAGGTTGAGAAAGGATCTTCCGCCATTCCAAGTCTGCACTGCCACTAACCCCTAATGCCACCTTGGGAAAGGCAGCCCCATCTTAGTTGGTCAGGCCTGTCCCTTCAGAGACATACACACAGTGAATGGGTCAGACGCGAGTCAACTTCTTTTTTTGAGCCTGTTGTTCCAGTTCTGTCTTGCCTCACAATGCCCTGGATCACCCAGGAGCCCACTGGACAGGAGTGTGGAATTCCTTTGAGAATCTCTAGGCTCCAGCTGGGCTGTGCTTAGATCCTGGTCTCCTCTGCCTGTGTCGGAGGCTGCAGGATCATCTTTGAGGTTGGTACCAAGTATTGGTGAGGAGGTAGAACCACTGGAACTCTCATACATTGCTAGTGGGCATGTAAATTGGTACAAACAATTTGGAAAAATCTATGGCAGTACCTACTAAAGCTAAACATGTGTACCTTATGATCCAGCGGTTCTACTTCAGTTTATAAACCCAACAGAAATGAGTGTTTATGTCCACCAAAAGCTACTTTCAAGAATGTGCGTAGCAGCTTTATTCATAATAGCCCTAAACTGGAAATAGTTCAAATGTCCATCGACAGTAGAAAGGATAAACTGGGGATTCTCTTGATCTCCTCATCTGTTTGGATAATTTGCTATAATGGCTAACAGAACTCAGGGGAATAAATACTTACTTACTATTATCAGTTTATTATAAAGGATATTATAAAGGATGCAAATGGAACAGCCAAATGAAGAGGCACCTAGGGTGAAGTCTGGAAGGGTCCTGAGCACAGGTCCCTGTGGAGTTCAGAGTGTGCCACCTTCCTGGCACATGGATACATTCTCCAACTTGAAAGCTCTCCAAACCCCATAATTTATGGTTTGTATGGAGGTTCCATTACTTAGGCATGATTGATTAGATCATTAGTCATTGATAATTAACTCAATCCCCAGGCCCTCTCCCCTCCTGAGAAGTTGGAGGGTGGGGCTGAAAGTTCCAACCCTCTAATCATATGGTCGGTTCCTCTAGCAACAGGCACCCATCTTGCAGCTATCTAGGGACCCAACTTGAGTCACCCGGTTAACATAAACTCAGGTGTGACTGAAAGGGACTTATTGCGAATAACAAAAGATGCTCCTCTCACCGTTATCACTTACTAAATTACAAGAGTTTGAGGAGCTCTTGTGCCAGGAACCAGGGACAAAGACCAAATAAATGTATTTTTTATTATATCACAATATCACAGTAATATAAGTCAGAATAGTAATTACTCTTGATGGTTACTAACTGAAAGGAAAACCCAGGGAGGAGTCTGGTATGCTGGAAATTTCTCTATCTTGATCTTGGTGGTGATTATACTAATGTATGCATATGTACATTTAAGATTTGTGCAGTTTATGTAAGTATGCCTCTATATAGAGAAATAAACACTTAAAATTCTTTCACCTGGGTTCTTCCTCTATACTTTTTTTTTTTTAGGACAATTCGCCCTGAGCTAACATCTGCTGCCAATCCTCTTTTTGCTGAGGAAGACTGGCCCTGAGCTAACATCTGTGCCCATCTTCCTCTATTTTATATGTGGGACACCTGACACAGCATGGCTTGATAAGCGGTGCATAGGTCCATGCCTGGCATCCAAACTGGCGAACCCCAGGCTGCCTAAGAGGAGCATGTGTACTTAACCACTACACCACTGGGCCGGCCCCTTGAAAACGTGAATATTTTAATGCTGAAAAAATAATTCAGCAAAAGAACGTGCCACAATCTATTAACTATTTCATTATGGTGGATTTTAGCCTGTATATCAGGCAAAGTTCTCCAGAGAAAAAGAACATATATGATATAGCTGTCAGAAAGAGAGAGGGGCTTACCTGGTGGATTAGTGGTTAAGTTTGTGTGCTTGGCTTCAGTGGCCCCAGATGTGCGGGTTTGGATCCTGGGCATGGACCTACACACTTCTCATCAAGCCATGCTGTCGTGGAGTCCCACATACAAAATAGGGGAAGGTTGGCACAGATGTTAGCTCAGCAACAATCTTTCTTACCAAAAAAAAAAGAGAGAGAGATTTGTTTCAAAGAATTGGCTTACATGATTGTGGAGGCTGGCAAGTCTGAAATCTGTAGGGCAGACTGGAAATTCTCAGGCAAGAGCAATGTTACAGTCTTGAGGCAGGATTTCTTCTTCCTCAGGGAAACCTGTTTAGCTCTTAAGGCCTTTCAGCTGGCCCACCAACATTATCAAGGGTCATCTCCTTTACTTAAAGTCAACTGATCATAGAATTAAAAAAAATCTTTCCTGGGGCTGGCCCTCTGGCCGAGTGGGTAAGTTCGTGCACTCCGCTGCAGGTGGCCCAGTGTTCCGTTGGTTCGAATCCTGGGCGCGGACATGGGACTGCTCATCCAACCACGCTGAGGCAGCGTCCCACATGCCACAACTAGAAGGACCCACTACGAAGAACATACAACTATGTACTGGGGGGCTTTGGGGAGAAAAAGAAAAAAATAAAATCTGGAAAAAAAAAAATTCTTAACTTTAAGATATAATTGACATAGAACATTGTGTAAGTTTAAGGTATACATTGTGATGATTTGATATCTGTATAAATTGTAAAATAATTATGTAAGGTAGTAGAAAATATATATATTGTTCTCTGGCCCTGGTTCCTGGCACAGAGCTCCTAAAACCCTTGTAATTTCCTAAGTGATAGGAGCACCGGGAGCATCTTTTGTTCTCATATTTGTTCTTTGACCCCACTTCCTGGCACAGAGTTACTAAATTCTTGGAATTTCCTGGGTGATAGCAGCGTCTTTTGTTTTAATGAGATGACTCTTGGTGGCTCCTGGATGGGGGCTGGTCACCAGAAAGACCAAGCCATGATTAGAAGTGCTCCAAAGTACTGGACTGGAGCCAGTCTCAGTGCTTAAAACCAGCAGCTGAGTAAGGTAAGGAGGCTGAAACAAGCCGCTGCCCTCTGCTGCCTGGGACTTGAGTTTTTGTAGCTCTCCATACTCGGGAACCAGGTGGACATAGACACAGCCTCTGAACCAAGATCTGTGCCATCCTGTGCAAGGCCGTGACTGGATCCACGATGTCTGCTCTCTTCCCAGAGCAGGAGTCCCCAGCAGACCAGGTAAGACCTGGCTCCAAACTGGGCACCAGAAGAGGGATAAGGAGGAATGAGAGCGTTGAGAAGAAAAAGAAAACAAAAGAAAACAAAACAAACAGCAGGGGCCAGCCCAGTGGTGTAGTGATTAAGTTCACGTGCTCTGCTTCAGCGGCCTAGGGTTCGCAGGTTTGGATCCCAGGCATGGACCTAGCACCACTCGTCAAGCCACACTCTGGTGGCATCCCACATAAGATAGAGGAAGATTGGCATAGACGTTAGCTCAGTGAGAATCTTCCTCAAGCAAAAAGAGGAAGATTGGCAACAGATGTTAGCTCAGAGCCAATGTTCCTCACAAAGAAAAAAAAAACTAGCAAAACTTCCCACTCCAAGATGAGTTTGCAAGTAAATTTCCTAAATTCATTAAGAAAATTAATTGTAGAAAAGACAGATCTCTTCAGCAAAAACTCCATAATCAGGAGAGTAATTCTTTCCAGATAAATGAAAGTAAAAGAACAATCCTTAAAATACTTTAACATAAGTATGCTTTGGCTCCTCAAAGGAGTAAAGGAAGAACAAGATATTGAATAAAGCATAAAAAAGAATAAGAAATTGTGAAATAAAAACAGGCAAAAATACCAAAGAAGATATACAGATGGCCAACAGGCACATGAAAACATGCTCAATATCGT